GGCCTCAATTCTGGATGGCATTTTAGTAAGAGAGGATTTTGAAGTAGGATAAATAAATAAAAAAATAAAAAAAATAAGCTGTTTTATTTATATTAACCTTAAGTATTATTTTATTACGTGGTAGAACCATGGCTCTACCACGTAATAAACAGCTATGTTAGTAGTATAGTTGTAGCACGAATGGGTCGGCTCGACCGGGGAAGGACCACGCTCTCACAGAATACTAGCGTAAAATAACAGCATAACGCTGCTGTGTTTCGTATGGTGAGTGTAGAGAACCGGAGGCCCTTTTTTACTGGAAACGAGGCATTCCATCTAAGTCCTCAAAGGTGACAACGCATCTGCATTTTGATTTGCAATCGAGGATAGGTGTAGATGTCTATGGCCCACAGCAACCACTTACCATCAGGTGGACTGTGTGCTCGTTTGTCACCCTTATTCTATTAAAAAATATCCAAAACATGGTTGACCTAATGTTTCACTTTCTATTATTCATAGGACTGTTAACTTTTGATATGACATTATCCAGGCTTTAAATGTCTGTCAAGGCTCAAGGCATGCTCTGACACGCTGAGGACCTGTTATGTGAAAATATTTGTGTACAGCAGAAACGGCAGATTATTTAGGATGCGAATTCTTTTGTAACAACTTAAGTTAGTTGTTACAAGATCAAAAAAGCACATAGGTACACAATCTTTAATACACTTTATTCGTGTCTTCATCAAAAAATACAATATTTTTTGCCCTACTTTCGTACTAGTTTCGGGACATTTTAGCCATTTTACATAATAAATCTACCTGATAGGCTTTAGGTGATATGAGTATATTTAAGAGTTGACAGCTAACGTCAAATCAAAACGACATCAATCCGCCATTAGTGTTGCATTTTTTGGTGAGAATAAAATATTAATTTCTACTAAAATTAAGGCAAATTCGTGGATTTGAATGATCAAAAGTAGTTTAATATTTTATTTTAAGTTATTTCCATACTAGTATAAAATTAGGCCCACGCTTCGTGCAATTTTGGACCGTCTCCTTTATTTCATTCTATGAAAAGTTAGACCTAATAAAACATTGGTAACATAGATAACTTTATATTGTAACGGCGCAGTGGATAAGCGTTTAGCTATAGCGCTGCAGCTAGCTAGCGGTCGCGGGCTTGAAACTAGTACGGAACATGTATTTGAATAGCCAACAAGCAATTTTCTCGGATCTAGATGTTTGTCTCCACGGTAAAGGAAAAAACTTCAGGGTAACATTTTTACAAAAAATAAAAGAGAAGAGGTTTCAATATTTATTTATATTTTTTTAAATATTAGAATTCCGTTTTCTTCATTATTTTTATTAATTAATTATGCTTGAAATCATAATATTTACTTAAAAATCACCCATAATTCTAAATCAATGTGATAAAATTAAATTTATAATACATCTTTTTTTCCGATCTCGGTTATATGATTTAGGATGGAATACCAATCTATTATTTTTTAATATGAACATATTTCATATACACAAAACAATTTTTTAAATTAATTAACGAATACTTGTTTTTTTGAAAGCAATTTTTTTAATGGAAGTTTTACTCTCTATAATAAAAATTTGGGCTTGAGCCCTATTTAATCTAATTGAATCCATTCAGGTGGGTAATCTAGAAAACCGTAGTCTCTCACTGATTGCATCCCCAGATATTGAACGATTGTAATATTTAATGGATAATCATCGTAACGATTTCCCGTCCTCTCTCATAATACTATAGTTATCTAGAAACTACTAAAATTCATATAATAGCTCTCCTTTTGTAATGTAAAAATCCTTTCATGGCATTGTTTATAAATCTATGTTGTTAGAAGCTTTGAAATTCTTCATTAGTTACCTATTTGGCCCACATTGTGCCTTATGCTTTAAGGTTTTTAATTATGGGTGAATAACATTATATACTGCCGTGTAGTGGCGGTCAAGAATATCCACTACCCCATATCCTCCCGTGGGTGTCGTAAAAGGCGACAAAGGGAAACAGGCAGAAGATGGGCAGCAGCATCTTCCTGATAATAGCCAAAATTATAATAAAAAACTGCGGTTGCCAACCCGCTCGCCAAGCGTGGCAACTATGGCAAATACACCCCAATGACTAAAGCAACAAACAGACGGCCCACAGTCCCCGGCGGCACCGCTATTCCTGGCTACGGTGGCGACCATGGTAACGGCGGGGCAGGAGGTGCTAAGAATCTCCGGTGGAGGTTCGGTTGCCACCTTAGACGACTCGACCTGGCAACGTACAACGCACGCACCCTGAGGACTGACGAGAAGATTGTGGAGCTGGAAGAAGAGACAGACAAGTTGCGCTGGCATATTATAGGATTATCCGAAGTCCGAAGAGAGGGGGAGGACACGGCAATCCTCGAATCCGGCAAGTTGCTTTATCACGTTAACAACGTTGTAAAGATTAAGAGTGTGTCGACGAGAGTTGCGTACCTTATACTCAGAATCACCAAACGGTATACGCTGAAGGTCATAGAGGTTTACGCACCAAGCTAGGCACACCCCGATGAAGAGGTGGAGGAAATGTATGAGTATATCTCTAGAGCCATGCATTCCTCCGAACCCAATATACGGTGTTAATGGGAGACTTCAATGCAAAACTAGGCACAAGAGAAAATGGTGAGCTGAAAGTAGGGAAATTTGGAATAGGGCAACGGAACCCAAGGAGCCAGCAGCTGACTGACTTCATGGAGAAAGAGGGACTCTTTATGATGAATTCTTTCTTCCAGAAGCGGCCCCACAGGAAGTGGACCTGGTCGAGCCCCGACGGTACGACAAAAAATGAGATTGACTTCCTTATGACGACCAGACGACAACTGTTCAGTGATGTCTCAGTGATCGCGAGGGTGAAAACCGGCAGCGATCACCGAATGTTTAGAGGCACACTGAACCTAAACGTTAAGTTGGATAGGTCTCTTCTAATGAAGTCAACGCTCCGTCCACCTCGTGCTCTAATCCAAAGTCCCGAAACCTTTCAGCTCGAGTTTCAAAACTGTTATGTCTGGCGTATGTGGACTATGAGAAAGAGTATGATTCCGTCCAAATTCGGGCGGTGCTGCAGTCCCTTCAGCGGTGCCAAGTGGACTGTCGGTATATCGAGTTGCTGAAGTGCTTGTACAGTAGGAAACTATGATTAGAGATTCGCACCTATTGGAAGGTTGGACTGCCGAAAATGGTCAAACTATTATTAGAGATTCGCACGTATCGGAGAGTTGGACTGTCGAAAATGATCAAACTATGATTAGAGATTCGCACCTAATGGAAGGTTTGACTGCCGAAAATGGTCAAACTATTATAAGAGAATCACACGTATTGGAGGGTTGGACTGTCGAAAATGATCAAACTATGATTAGAAATTCGCACGTATCGAAGGGTTGAACTGTCGAAAATGATCAAACTATTTTTAGAGATTCGCACGAATTGAAAGGTTGGACTGCTGAAAATGATCAAACTATTTTTAGAGATTCGCACGAATCAGAAGGTTGGACTGCCGAAAATGATCAAACTATGATTAGAGATTCGCACGCATCTGAGGGTTGGACTGCCGAAAATGATCAAACTATGATTAGTGATTTACACGTATTGGAAGGTTGGACTGCCGAAAATGATTAAACTATTATAAGTGATTTACACGTATTGGAAGGTTGGACTGTCGAAAATGATCAAACTATGATTAGAGATTCGCACCTAATGGAAGGTTGGACTGCCGAAAATGGTCAAACTATTATAAGAGAATCACACGTATTGGAGGGTTGGACTGTCGAAAATGATCAAACTATGATTAGAGATTTGCACCTAATGGAAGGTTGGACTGCCGAAAATGGTCAAAATATAATAAGAGAATCGCACGTATTGAAGGGTTGGACTGTCGAAAATGATCAAACTATGATTAGAGATTCGCACGTATCAGAGGGTTGTACTGCCGAAAATGATCAAATATATTATTAGAGATTCGCACGTATCGGAGGGTTGGTCGAAAATGATCCATTTATTTTTAGAGATTCGCACGTATCAGAAGGTTGGACTGCCGAAAATGATCAAACTTATATAAGAGAATCACACGTATTGGAGGGTTGGACTGTCGAAAATGTCAAACTATTATTAGAGATTCACACGAATTGGAAGGTTGGACTGCCGAAAATGATCCAACTATTATTGGAAAATCACACGTATTGGAGGGTTAGACTGTCGAAAATGATCAAACTATGATTATAGATTCGCACCTATTGGAAGGTTGGACTGCCGAAAATGGTCAAAGTAAAATTAGAGAATCGCACTTATTGGAAGGTTGGTCTGTCGAAAATGATCAAACTATGATTAGAAATTCGCACGTATCGGAGGGTTGGACTGTCGAAAATGATCAAACTATTTTTAGAGATTCGCACGAATTGGAAGGTTGGACTGCCGAAAATGATCAAACTATTTTTAGAGATTCGCACGTATCAGAAGGTTGGACTGCCGAAAATGATCAAACTATGATTAGAGATTCGCACGTAACTGAGGGTTGGACTGCCGAAAATGGTCAAACTATGATTAGAGATTCGCACCTATTGGAAGGTTGGACCGCCGAAAATGATCCAACAATTATTAGAGAATCACACGTATTGGAGGGTTGGACTGTCGAAAATGATCAAACTATTTTTAGAGATTCGCACGCATCAGAAGGTTGGACTGCCAAAAATGATCAAACTATGATTAGAGATTCGCACGTATCTGAGGGTTGGACTGCCGAAAATGATCAAACTATGATTAGAGATTCGCACCTATTGGAAGGTTGGACTGCCGAAAATGATCCAACTATTATAAGAGAATCACACGTATTGGAGGGGTGGACTGTCGAAAATGATCAAACTATTTTTAGAGATTCGCTCGTATCAGAAGGTTGGACAGCCGAAAATGATCAAACTATGATTTGAGATTCGCACGTATCTGAGGGTTGGACTGCCGAAAATGATCAAACTATGATTAGAGATTCGCACCTATTGGAAGGTTGGACTGCCGAAAATGATCCAACTATTATTAGAGAATCGCACGTATTGGAGAGTTGGTCCGTCGAAAATGATCAAACTATGATTAGAAATTCGCACGTATCGGAGGGTTGGACTGCCGAAAATGATCAAACTATTTTTAGAGATTCGCACGTATCAGAAGGTTGGACTGCCGAAAATGATCAAACTATGATTAGAGGTTCGCACGTATCTGAGGGTTGGACTGCCGAAAATGATCAAACTATGATTAGAGATTCGCACCTATTGGAAGGTTGGACTGCCGAAAATGGTCAAACTATTATAAGAGAATCACACGTATTGGAGGGTTGGACTGTCAAAATTGATCAAACTATGATTAGAGATTCGCACCTATTGGAAGGTTGGACTGCCGAAAATGATCAAACTATTATTAGAGATTCTCACGTATGGGAGGGTTGGACTGTCGAAAATGATCAAACTATTATTAGAGATTCACACGTATCGGAGGGTTGGTCTGTCGAAAATGATCAAACTATTTTTAGAGATTAGCACGTATCAGAAGGTTGGACTGCCGAAAATGATCAAATTATGATTAGCGATTCACACGTATTGGAAGGTTGGACTGCCGAAAATGATCCAACTATTATTAGAGAATCACACGTATTGGAGGGTTGGAATATCGAAAATGATTAAACTAATATTAGAAATTTACACGTATTGGAAGGTTGGACTGCCGAAAATGATCCAACTATTATTTGAGAATCACACGTATTGGAGGGTTGGACTGTCGAAAATGATCAAACTATGATTAGAGATTCGCACGTATCTGAGGGTTGGACTGCCGAAAATGATCAAACTATGATTAGAGATTCGCACCTATTGGAAGGTTGGACTGCCGAAAATGATCCAACTATGATAAGAGATTCGCACGTATCAGAGGGTTGGACTGCCGAAAATGATCAAATATATTATTAGAGATCCGCACGTATCGGAGGGTTGGACGGTCGAAAATGATCAAACTATTTTTAGAGATTCGCACGTATCAGAAGGTTGGACTGCCGAAAATGATCAAACTTATATAAGAGAATCACACGAATTGGAAGGTTGGACTGCCGAAAATGATCCAAATAATTTTAGAGAATCACGCGTATTGGAGGGTTGGACTGTCGAAAATGATCTAACTATGATTAGAGATTCGCACCTATTGGAAGGTTGGACTGCCGAAAATGGTCAAAGTATTATTAGAGAATCGCACGTATTGGAGGATTGGTCTGTCGAAAATGATCAAACTATGATTAGTGATTTGCACGTATCAGAAGGTTGAACTGCCGAAAATGATCAAACTATTATTAGAGATTCCCACGTATTGGAGGGTTGGACTGTCGAAAATGATTTAACTATTATTAGAGATTTACACGTATTGGAAGGTTGGACTGCCGAAAATGATACAACTATTATTGCCACACGTATTGGAGGGTTGGACTGTCGAAAATGATCAAACTATGATTAGAGATTCGCACGTATTGGAGGGTTGGACTGTCGAAAATGATCAAATTATGATTAGAGATTCGCACGTATCTGAGGGTTGAACTCCTGAAAATGATCAAAAATATTATTAGAGATTCGCACGTATCGGAGGGTTGGACTGTCGAAAATGATCAAACTATGATTAGAGATTCGCACCTATTGCAAGGTTGGACTGCCGAAAATGGTCAAACTATTATAAGAGAATCGCACGTATTAGAGGGTTGGACTGTCAAAAATGATCAAACTATGATTAGTGATTCGCACGTATCAGAGGGTTGGACTGCCGAAAATGATTAAACTATTATTATGAGATTTACACGTATTGGAAGGTTGGACTGCCGAAAATGATACAACTATTATTGCCACACGTATTGGAGGGTTGGATTGTCGAAAATGATCAAACTATGATTAGAGATTCGCACGTATTGAAAGGTTGGACTGTCGAAAATGATCAAATTATGATTAGAGATTCGCACGTATCTGAGGGTTGAACTCCTGAAAATGATCAAAAATATTATTAGAGATTCGCACGTATCGGAGGTTTGGACTGTCGAAAATGATCAAACTATGATTAGAGATTCGCACCTATTGCAAGGTTGGACTGCCGAAAATGATCAAAGTATTATGAGAGAATCGCACGTATTGGAGGGTTGGTCTGTCGAAAATGATCAAACTATGATTAGAAATTCGCACGTATCGGAGGGTTGGACTGTCGAAAATAATCAAACTATTTTTAGAGATTCGCACGAATTGGAAGGTTGGACTGCCAAAATGATCAAACTATTTTTAGAGATTCGCAAGTATCAGAAGGTTGGACTGCCGAAAATGATCAAACTATGATTAGAGATTCGCACGAATTGGAAGGTTGGACTGCCGAAAATGATCAAACTATTTTTAGAGATGCGCACGTATCAGAAGGTTGGACTGTCGAAAATGATCAAACTATGATTAGAGATTCGCACCTATTGGAAGGTTGGACTGCCGAATATGGTCAAACTATAATAAGAGAATCGCACGTATTGGAGGGTTGGACTGCCGAAAATGATCAAACTATTATTGAAGATTCGCACGTATCGGAGGGTTGGAATGTCGAAAATGATCAAACTATTATTAGAGATTTACACGAATTGGAAGGTTGGACTGCCGAAAATGATCCAACTATTATTAGAGAATCACACGTATTTAAGGGTTGGACTGTCGAAAATGATCAAACTATGATGAGAGATTCGCACCTATTGGAAGGTTGGACTGCCAATAATGGTCAAACTATTATGAGAAAATCGCACGTATTGGAGGGTTGATCTGTCGAAAATGATCAAACTATGATAAGAGATTCGCACGTATCGGAGGGTTGGACTGTCGAAAATGATCAAACTATTTTTAGAGATTCGCACGAATTGGAAGGTTGGACTGCCGAAAATGATCAAACTATTTTTAGAGATTCGCACGTATCAGAAGGTTGGACTGCCGAAAATGATCAAACTATGATTAGAGATTCGCAGCTATTGGAAAGTTGGACTGCCGAAAATGGTCAAACTATTATAAGAGAATCGCACGTATTGGAGGGTTGGACTGTCAAAAATGATCTAAATATGTTTAGAGATTCGCACGTATCAGAGGGTTGGACTGTCGAAAATGATCAAACTTTTATTAGAGATTTACACGTATTGGAAGGTTGGACTGCCGAAAATGATCCAACTATTATTAGAGAATCACACGTATTGGAGGGTTGGACTGTCGAAAATGATCAAACTATGATTAGAGATTCTCACGTATCGGAGGGTTGGACTTTCGAAAATGATCAAACTTTTATTAGAGGTTTACACGTATTGGTAGGTTGGACTGCCCAAAATGATCCAACTATTATTAGAGAATCACACGTATTGGAGGGTTGGACCATCGAAAATGATCAAACTATGATTAGAGATTCGCACCTATAGGAAGTTTGGACTGCCGAAAATGTTCAAACTATTATAAGAGAATCGCACGTATTGGAGGGTTGGACTGTCGAAAATGATCAAACTATGATAAGAGATTCGCACGTATCAGAGGGTTTGACTCCTGAAAATGATCAAATATATTATTAGAGATTCGCACGTATCATAGGGTTGGACTGGCGAAAATGATCAAATTATTTTTAGAGATTCGCACGTATCAGAAGGTTGGACTGCCGAAAATGATCAAACTTTTATAAGAGAACCACACGTATTGGAGGGTTGGACTGTCGAAAATGATCAAACTATGTTTAGAGATTCGCACCTATTAGAAGGTTGGACTGCCGAAAATGGTCAAACTATTATGAGAGCATCGCACGTATTGGAGGGTTGGACTGCCGAAAATTATCAAACTATTATTGAAGATTCGCACGTATCGGAGGGTTGGACTGTCGAAAATGATCAAACTATTATTAGAGATTCTCTCGTATCGGCTGGTTGGACTGTCGAAAATGTTCAAACTATGATTAATGATTCGCACCTATTGGAAGGTTGGACTGCCGAAAATGATCAAAGTATTATGAGAGAATCGCACGTATCGGAGGGTTGGACTGTCGAAAATGATCAAACTATTTTTAGAGATTCGCACGAATTGGAAGGTTGGACTGCCAAAATGATCAAACTATTTTTAGAGATTCGCAAGTATCAGAAGGTTGCACTGCCGAAAATAATCAAACTATGATTAGAGATTCGCACCTATTGGAAGGTTGGACTGCCGAAAATGGTCAAACTATTATAAGAGAATCGCACGTATTGGAGGGTTGGACTGTCGAAAATGATCAAACTATTTTTAGAGATTCGCACGAATTGGAAGGTTGGACTGCCAAAATGATCAAACTATTTTTAGAGATTCGCAAGTATCAGAAGGTTGCACTGCCGAAAATAATCAAACTATGATTAGAGATTCGCACGTATTAGAGGGTTCGACTGCCGAATATGGTCAAACTATTATAAGAGAATCGCACGTATTGGAGGGTTGGACTGTCAAAAATGATCAAACTATGATTAAAGATTCGCACGTATCAGAGGGTTGGACTGCCGAAAATGATCAAACTATTATTAGAGATTCTCACGTATCGAAGGCCTGGACTGTCAAAAATGATCAAACTATTATTAGAAATTCACACGAATTGGAAGGTTGGACTGCCGAAAATGATCCAACTATTATTAGAAAATCACACGTATTGGAGGGTTAGACTGTCGAAAATGATCAAACTATGATTAGAGATTCGCACCTATTGGAAGGTTGGACTGCCAAAAATGGTCAAAGTATTATAAGAGAATCGCACGTATTGGAGGGTTGGTCTGTCGAAAATGAACAAACTATGATTTGAAATTCGCACGTATCGGAGGGTTGGACTGTCGAAAATGATAAAACTATTTTTAGAGATTCGCACGAATTGGAAGGTTGGACTGCCGAAAATGATCAAACTATTTTTAGAGATGCGCACGTGTCAGAAGGTTGGACTGTCGAAAATGATCAAACTATGATTAGAGATTCGCACCTATTGGAAGGTTGGACTGCCGAATATGGTCAAACTATAATAAGAGAATCGCACGTATTGGAGGGTTGGACTGCCGAAAATGATCAAACTATTATTGAAGATTCGCACGTATCGGAGGGTTGGAATGTCGAAAATGATCAAACTATTATTAGAGATTTACACGAATTGGAAGGTTGGACTGCCGAAAATGATCCAACTATTATTAGAGAATCACACGTATTTAAGGGTTGGACTGTCGAAAATGATCAAACTATGATTAGAGATTCGCACCTATTGGAAGGTTGGACTGCCAATAATGGTCAAACTATTATGAGAAAATCGCACGTATTGGAGGGTTGATCTGTCGAAAATGATCAAACTATGATAAGAGATTCGCACGTATCGGAGGGTTGGACTGTCGAAAATGATCAAACTATTTTTAGAGATTCGCACGAATTGGAAGGTTGGACTGCCGAAAATGATCAAACTATTTTTAGAGATTCGCACGTATCAGAAGGTTGGACTGCCGAAAATGATCAAACTATGATTAGAGATTCGCAGCTATTGGAAAGTTAGACTGCCAAAAATGGTCAAACTATTATAAGAGAATCGCACGTATTGGAGGGTTGGACTGTCAAAAATGATCAAACTATGATTAGAGATTCGCACGTATCAGAGAGTTGGACTGCCGAAAATGATCAAAGTATGATTAGAGATTCTCACGTATCGGAGGGTTGGACTGTCGAAAATGATCAAACTTTTATTAGAGATTTACACGTATTGGAAGGTTGGACTGCCGAAAATGATCCAACTATTATTAGAGAATCACACGTATTGGAGGGTTGGACTGTCGAAAATGATCAAACTATGATTAGAGATTCTCACGTATCGGAGGGTTGGACTTTCGAAAATGATCAAACTTTTATTAGAGGTTTACACGTATTGGTAGGTTGGACTGCCCAAAATGATCCAACTATTATTAGAGAATCACACGTATTGGAGGGTTGGACCATCGAAAATGATCAAACTATGATTAGAGATTCGCACCTATAGGAAGGTTGGACTGCCGAAAATGGTCAAACTATTATAAGAGAATCGCACGTATTGGAGGGTTGGACTGTCGAAAATGATCAAACTATGATAAGAGATTCGCACGTATCAGAGGGTTGGACTCCTGAAAATGATCAAATATATTATTAGAGATTCGCACGTATCATAGAGTTGGACTGGCGAAAATGATCAAATTATTTTTAGAGATTCGCACGTATCAGAAGGTTGGACTGCCGAAAATGATCAAACTTTTATAAGAGAACCACACGTATTGGAGGGTTGGACTGTCGAAAATGATCAAACTATGTTTAGAGATTCGCACCTATTAGAAGGTTGGACTGCCGAAAATGGTCAAACTATTATGAGAGCATCGCACGTATTGGAGGGTTGGACTGCCGAAAATTATCAAACTATTATTGAAGATTCGCACGTATCGGAGGGTTGGACTGTCGAAAATGATCAAACTATTATTAGAGATTCTCTCGTATCGGCTGGTTGGACTGTCGAAAATGTTCAAACTATGATTAATGATTCGCACCTAATGGAAGGTTGGACTGCCGAATATGGTCAAACTATTATAAGAGAATCGCACGTATTGGAGGGTTGTACTGTCGAAAATGATCAAACTATGATTAGAGATTCGCACGCATCTGAGGGTTGGACTGCCGAAAATGATCAAACTATGATTAGAGAATTGCACCTATTGGAAGGTTGGACTGCCGAAAATGATTAAACTATTATTAGAGATTTACACGTATTGGAAGGTTGTACTGTCGAAAATGATCAAACTATGATTAGAGATTCGCACCTAATGGAAGGTTGGACTGCCGAAAATGATCAAACTATGTTTAGAGATTCGCACCTATTAGAAGGTTGGACTGCCGAAAATGGTCAAACTATTATGAGAGAATCGCGCGTATTGGAGGGTTGGACTGCCGAAAATTATCAAACTATTATTGAAGATTCGCAGGTATCGGAGGGTTGGACTGTCGAAAATGATCAAACTATTATTAGAGATTCTCTCGTATCGGCTGGTTGGACTGTCGAAAATGTTCAAACTATGATTAATGATTCGCACCTAATGGAAGGTTGGACTGCCGAATATGGTCAAACTATTATAAGAGAATCGCACGTATCAGAGGGTTGTACTCCTGAAAATGATCAAATATATTATTAGAGATTCGCACGTATAGGAGTGTTGAACTGTTGAAAATGATCAAACTATTTTTAAGAGATTCGCACGAATTGGAAGGTTGGACTGCCGAAAATGATCAAACTATTTTTAGAGATTCGCACGTATCAGAAGGTTGGACTGCCGAAAATGATAAACTATGATTAGAGATTCGCACCTATTGGAAGGATGGCCTGCCGAAAATGATACAACTATTATAAGAGAATCACACGTATTGGAGGGTTGGACTGCCGAAAATGATCAAACTATGATTAATGATTCGCACCTAATGGAAGGTTGGACTGCCGAAATGATCCAACTATTATTTGAGAATCACACGTATTGGAGGATTGGACTGTCGAAAATGATAAAACTATGATTAGAGATTCGCACCTAATGGAAGGTTTGACTGCCGAAAATGGTCAAACTATTATAAGAGAATCACACGTATTGGAGGGTTGGACTGTCGAAAATGATCAAACTATGATTAGAAATTCGCACGTATCGGAGGGTTGAACTGTCGAAAATGATCAAACTATTTTTAGAGATTCGCACGAATTGAAAGGTTGGACTGCTGAAAATGATCAAACTATTTTTAGAGATTCGCACGAATCAGAAGGTTGGACTGCCGAAAATGATCAAACTATGATTAGAGATTCGCACGCATCTGAGGGTTGGACTGCCGAAAATGATCAAACTATGATTAGTGATTTACACGTATTGGAAGGTTGGACTGCCGAAAATGATTAAACTATTATTAGTGATTTACACGTATTGGAAGGTTGGACTGTCGAAAATGATCAAACTATGATTAGAGATTCGCACCTAATGGAAGGATGGACTGCCGAAAATGATACAACTATTATTAGAGAATCACACGTATTGGAGGGTTGGACTGTCGAAAATGATCAAACTATGATTAGTGATTCGCAGCTATTGGAAAGTTGGACTGCCAAAAATGGTCAAACTATTATAAGAGAATCGCACGTATTGGAGGGTTGGACTGTCAAAAATGATCAAACTATGATTAGAGATTCGCACGTATCAGAAGGTTGGACTGCCGAAAATGATCAAACTATGATTAGAGATTCGCAGCTATTGGAAAGTTGGACTGCCAAAAATGGTCAAACTATTATAAGAGAATCGCACGTATTGGAGGGTTGGACTGTCAAAAATGATCAAACTATGATTAGAGATTCGCACGTATCAGAGAGTTGGACTGCCGAAAATGATCAAAGTATGATTAGAGATTCTCACGTATCGGAGGGTTGGACTGTCGAAAATGATCAAACTTTTATTAGAGATTTACACGTATTGGAAGGTTGGACTGCCGAAAATGATCCAACTATTATTAGAGAATCACACGTATTGGAGGGTTGGACTGTCGAAAATGATCAAACTTTTATTAGAGGTTTACACGTATTGGTAGGTGTGACTGCCCAAAATGATCCAACTATTATTAGAGAATCACACGTATTGGAGGGTTGGACCATCGAAAATGATCAAACTATGATTAGAGATTCGCACCTATAGGAAGGTTGGACTGCCGAAAATGGTCAAACTATTATAAGAGAATCGCACGTATTGGAGGGTTGGACTGTCGAAAATGATCAAACTATGATAAGAGATTCGCACGTATCAGAGGGTTGGACTCCTGAAAATGATCAAATATATTATTAGAGATTCGCACGTATCATAGGGTTGGACTGGCGAAAATGATCAAATTATTTTTAGAGATTCGCACGTATCAGAAGGTTGGACTGCCGAAAATGATCAAATTTTTATAAGAGAACCACACGTATTGGAGGGTTGGACTGTCGAAAATGATCAAACTATGTTTAGAGATTCGCACCTATTAGAAGGTTGGACTGCCGAAAATGGTCAAACTATTATGAGAGCATCGCACGTATTGGAGGGTTGGACTGCCGAAAATTATCAAACTATTATTGAAGATTCGCACGTATCGGAGGGTTGGACTGTCGAAAATGATCAAACAATTATTAGAGATTCTCTCGTATCGGCTGGTTGGACTGTCGAAAATGTTCAAACTATGATTAATGATTCGCACCTAATGGAAGGTTGGACTGCCGAATATGGTCAAACTATTTTAAGAGAATCGCACGTATTGGAGGGTTGTACTGTCGAAAATGATCAAACTATGATTAGAGATTCGCACGCATCTGAGGGTTGGACTGCCGAAAATGATCAAACTATGATTAGAGAATTGCACCTATTGGAAGGTTGGACTGCCGAAAATGATTAAACTATTATTAGAGATTTACACGTATTGGAAGGTTGTACTGTCGAAAATGATCAAACTATGATTAGAGATTCGCACCTAATGGAAGGTTGGACTGCCGAAAATGATCAAACTATGTTTAGAGATTCGCACCTATTAGAAGGTTGGACTGCCGAAAATGGTCAAACTATTATGAGAGAATCGCACGTATTGGAGGGTTGGACTGCCGAAAATTATCAAACTATTATTGAAGATTCGCACGTATCGGAGGGTTGGACTGTCGAAAATGATCAAACTATTATTAGAGATTCTCTCGTATCGGCTGGTTGGACTGTCGAAAATGTTCAAACTATGATTAATGATTCGCACCTAAAGGAAGGTTGGACTGCCGAATATGGTCAAACTATTATAAGAGAATCGCACGTATTGGAGGGTTGTACTGTCGAAAATGATCAAACTATGATTAGAGATTCGCACGTATCAGAGGGTTGTACTCCTGAAAATGATCAAATATATTATTAGAGATTCGCACGTATAGGAGTGTTGAACTGTTGAAAATGATCAAACTATTTTTAAGAGATTCGCACGAATTGGAAGGTTGGACTGCCGAAAATGATCAAACTATTTTTAGAGATTCGCACGTATCAGAAGGTTGGACTGCCGAAAATGATAAACTATGATTAGAGATTCGCACCTATTGGAAGGATGGACTGCCGAAAATGATACAACTATTATTAGAGAATCACACGTATTGGAGTGTTGGACTGTCGAAAATGATCAAACTATGATTAGTGATTCGCACGTATCAGAGGGTTAGACTGCCGAAAATGATCAAAATATTATTAGATATTCCCACGTGTCGGAGGGTTGGACTGTCGAAAATGTTCAAACTATGATTAGAGATTCGCACCTAATGGAAGGTTGGACTGCCGAAAATGGTCAAACTATTATAAGAGAATCACACGTATTGGAGGGTTGGACTGCCGAAAATGATCAAACTATGATTAATGATTCGCACCTAATGGAAGGTTGGACTGCCGAAATGATCCAACTATTATTTGAGAATCACACGTATTGGAGGATTGGACTGTCGAAAATGATAAAACTATGATTAGAGATTCGCACCTAATGGAAGGTTTGACTGCCGAAAATGGTCAAACTATTATAAGAGAATCACACGTATTGGAGGGTTGGACTGTCGAAAATGATCAAACTATGATTAGAAATTCGCACGTATCGGAGGGTTGAACTGTCGAAAATGATCAAACTATTTTTAGAGATTCGCACGAATTGAAAGGTTGGACTGCTGAAAATGATCAAACTATTTGTAGAGATTCGCACGAATCAGAAGGTTGGACTGCCGAAAATGATCAAACTATGATTAGTGATTTACACGTATTGGAAGGTTGGACTGCCGAAAATGATTAAACTATTATTAGTGATTTACACGTATTGGAAGGTTGGACTGTCGAAAATGATCAAACTATGATTAGAGATTCGCACCTAATGGAAGGTTGGACTGCCGAAAATGGTCAAACTATTATAAGAGAATCACACGTATTGGAGGGTTGGACTGTCGAAAATGATCAAACTATGATTAGAGATTCGCACCTAATGGAAGGTTGGACTGCCGAAAATGGTCAAAATATAATAAGAGAATCGCACGTATTGAAGGGTTGGACTGTCGAAAATGATCAAACTATGATTAGAGATTCGCACGTATCAGAGGGTTGTACTGCCGAAAATGATCAAATATATTATTAGAGATTCGCACGTATCGGAGGGTTGGTCGAAAATGATCCAATTATTTTTAGAGATTCGCACGTATCAAAAGGTTGGACTGCCGAAAATGATCAAACTTATATAAGAGAATCACACGTATTGGAGGGTTGGACTGTCGAAAATGTCAAACTATTATTAGAGATTCACACGAATTGGAAGGTTGGACTGCCGAAAATGATCAAATTTTTATAAGAGAACCACACGTATTGGAGGGTTGGACTGTCGAAAATGATCAAACTATGTTTAGAGATTCGCACCTATTAGAAGGTTGGACTGCCGAAAATGGTCAAACTATTATGAGAGCATCGCACGTATTGGAGGGTTGGACTGCCGAAAATTATCAAACTATTATTGAAGATTCGCACGTATCGGAGGGTTGGACTGTCGAAAATGATCAAACAATTATTAGAGATTCTCTCGTATCGGCTGGTTGGACTGTCGAAAATGTTCAAACTATGATTAATGATTCGCACCTAATGGAAGGTTGGACTGCCGAATATGGTCAAACTATTATAAGAGAATCGCACGTATTGGAGGGTTGTACTGTCGAAAATGATCAAACTATGATTAGAGATTCGCACGCATCTGAGGGTTGGACTGCCGAAAATGATCAAACTATGATTAGAGAATTGCACCTATTGGAAGGTTGGACTGCCGAAAATGATTAAACTATTATTAGAGATTTACACGTATTGGAAGGTTGTACTGTCGAAAATGATCAAACTATGATTAGAGATTCGCACCTAATGGAAGGTTGGACTGCCGAAAATGATCAAACTATGTTTAGAGATTCGCACCTATTAGAAGGTTGGACTGCCGAAAATGGTCAAACAATTATGAGAGAATCGCACGTATTGGAGTGTTGGACTGCCGAAAATTATCAAACTATTATTGAAGATTCGCACGTATCGGAGGGTTGGACTGTCGAAAATGATCAAACTGTTATTAGAGATTCTCTCGTATCGGCTGGTTGGACTGTCGAAAATGTTCAAACTATGATTAATGATTCGCACCTAATGGAAGGTTGGACTGCCGAATATGGTCAAACTATTATAAGAGAATCGCACGTATTGGAGTGTTGTACTGTCGAAAATGATCAAACTATGATTAGAGATTCGCACGTATCAGAGGGTTGTACTCCTGAAAATGATCAAATATATTATTAGAGATTCGCACGTATAGGAGTGTTGAACTGTTGAAAATGATCAAACTATTTTTAAGAGATTCGCACGAATTGGAAGGTTGGACTGCCGAAAATGATCAAACTATTTTTAGAGATTCGCACGTATCAGAAGGTTGGACTGCCGAAAATGATAAACTATGATTAGAGATTCGCACCTATTGGAAGGATGGACTGCCGAAAATGATACAACTATTATTAGAGAATCACACGTATTGGAGTGTTGGACTGTCGAAAATGATCAAACTATGATTAGTGATTCGCACGTATCAGAGGGTTAGACTGCCGAAAATGATCAAAATATTATTAGATATTCCCACGTGTCGGAGGGTTGGACTGTCGAAAATGTTCAAACTATGATTAGAGATTCGCACCTAATGGAAGGTTGGACTGCCGAAAATGGTCAAACTATTATAAGAGAATCACACGTATTTGAGGGTTGGACTGCCGAAAATGATCAAACTATGATTAATGATTCGCACCTAATGGAAGGTTGGACTGCCGAAATGATCCAACTATTATTTGAGAATCACACGTATTGGAGGATTGGACTGTCGAAAATGATAAAACTATGATTAGAGATTCGCACCTAATGGAAGGTTTGACTGCCGAAAATGGTCAAACTATTATAAGAGAATCACACGTATTGGAGGGTTGGACTGTCGAAAATGATCAAACTATGATTAGAAATTCGCACGTATCGGAGGGTTGAACTGTCGAAAATGATCAAACTATTTTTAGAGATTCGCACGAATTGAAAGGTTGGACTGCTGAAAATGATCAAACTATTTTTAGAGATTCGCACGAATCAGAAGGTTGGACTGCCGAAAATGATCAAACTATGATTAGTGATTTACACGTATTGGAAGGTTGGACTGCCGAAAATGATTAAACTATTATTAGTGATTTACACGTATTGGAAGGTTGGACTGTCGAAAATGATCAAACTATGATTAGAGATTCGCACCTAATGGAAGGTTGGACTGCCGAAAATGGTCAAACTATTATAAGAGAATCACACGTATTGGAGGGTTGGACTGTCGAAAATGATCAAACTATGATTAGAGATTCGCACCTAATGGAAGGTTGGACTGCCGAAAATGGTCAAAATATAATAAGAGAATCGCACGTATTGAAGGGTTGGACTGTCGAAAATGATCAAACTATGATTAGAGATTCGCACGTATCAGAGGGTTGTACTGCCGAAAATGATCAAATATATTATTAGAGATTCGCACGTATCGGAGGGTTGGTCGAAAATGATCCAATTATTTTTAGAGATTCGCACGTATCAAAAGGTTGGACTGCCGAAAATGATCAAACTTATATAAGAGAATCACACGTATTGGAGGGTTGGACTGTCGAAAATGTCAAACTATTATTAGAGATTCACACGAATTGGAAGGTTGGACTGCCGAAAATGATCCAACTATTATTGGAAAATCACACGTATTGGAGGCTTAGACTGTCGAAAATGATCAAACTATGATTATAGATTCGCACCTATTGGAAGGTTGGACTGCCGAAAATGGTCAAAGTATTATTAGAGAATCGCACGTATTGGAAGGTTGGTCTGTCGAAAATGATCAAACTATGATTAGAAATTCGCACGTATCGGAGGGTTGGACTGTCGAAAATGATCAAACTATTTTTAGAGATTCGCACAAATTGGAAGGTTGGACTGCCGAAAATGATCAAACTATTTTTAGAGATTCGCACGTATCAGAAGGTTGGACTGTCGAAAATGATCAAATTATGATTAGAGATTCGCACGTATCCGAGGGTTGGACTGCCAAAAATGATCAAATATATTATTAGAGATTCGCACGTATCGGAGGGTTGGTCGAAAATGATCAAACTATTTTTAGAGATTCGCACGTATCAGAAGGTTGGACTGCCGAAAATGATCAAACTTATATAAGAGAATCACACGTATTGGAGGGTTGGACTGTCGAAAATATCAAACTATTATTAGAGATTCACACGAATTGGAAGGTTGGACTGCCGAAAATGATCCAACTATTATTAGAAAATCACACGTATTGGTGGGTTGGACTGTCGAAAATGATCAAACCATGATTAGATATTCGCACCTATTGGAAGGTTGGACTGCCGAAAATGATCAAAGTATTATGAGAGAATCGCACGTATTGGTGGGTTGGACTGTCGAAAATGATCAAACCATGATTAGAGATTCGCACCTATAGGAAGGTTGGACTGCCGAAAATGGTCAAACTATTATAAGAGAATCGCACGTATTGGAGGGTTGGACTGTCGAAAATGATCAAACTATGATAAGAGATTCGCACGTATCAGAGGGTTGGACTCCTGAAAATGATCAAATATATTATTAGAGATTCGCACGTATCATAGGGTTGGACTGGCGAAAATGATCAAATTATTTTTAGAGATTCGCACGTATCAGAAGGTTGGACTGCCGAAAATGATCAAATTTTTATAAGAGAACCACACGTATTGGAGGGTTGGACTGTCGAAAATGATCAAACTATGTTTAGAGATTCGCACCTATTAGAAGGTTGGACTGCCGAAAATGGTCAAA